AACCTGTAATGCAATAATCTTAATAAAGGATCACTGGCAAGACTGCCAAAGATGGAAAAAAAAATATATATATATATTCTTTTCTTACCATATTTTAGTAATACTTAAAAATGTTCTATAGCCTTTGTACGTGAGACTATAAAATTGATGAAAGCAAACCCAGATGAATATGTAATATTACGTATATCAGATTTTACTTTCTTTTTCTACCCAATAATAATTTGAACAGGTTTTGGTTTGTAGGTTGTTTTTTTCAAATACTCTAGATTTTTTAATTTAATTAAGTTTTTGAAGAGGATCTGATTCTCGAAGAAGATTTAGTTCTCTAAGAGAATCTGGTTCTTGAAGAGGATCTGGTTCTTGAAGAGGATCTGGTTCTTGAAGAGGATCTGGTTCTCGAAGAAGATCTGATTCTTGAAAAGGATCTGGTTCTCGAAAAGGATCTGGTTTTTGAGAATCAGGTTCTTGACGTACATATAATTCCTGAAAAGAATCAGAATTGCTTGGATTTGATGGTAGTTGATATGATAAAACGAATGTTTTTTGATATTGTAAAAAATATTTAACGCTCCAATTATCATCTCTAAATATATATGATAAAGTAGAATATGAATCAGCTTCTTTAAATATACACTTATAATTTTCCATTTTTGGATAATAATTATAGATATATCCTTTAAAAACACTAAAAAATTAACTCTCCGTGCAATTAACAATTACATGAGTATTTCTAGCATATTTTAAATATTGTTTTAATCTTTCTTTAATATGATAGACTAAAGTTTTCCGTGTCTCTTCAATTGCTCTTTCAGGCAACTCATAAATCATTGGCCTTATAGTATTAGCATCTTGAATTAGTTTTTTATGCTTAGCTAAATCTGAATGTCATTTATAAATCTTTCTATATAGTCTATACTCAAGCTCACTACAAGATGTATTATCTCGAATTGACATAGTTGCTATAATTAACATTAAAAATAGTCAATATAGTTTACGATAAAAAAAAAGTTATTTTTAGGCATAACAGTATCATATTTTTTAAACTCAGTTATTTAACTCTAAAATTTACTAACGGGTTCCTTATACAACTGATGGTTACTTATACAACTGATGGGTTACTTAGTTTCGCTATATTAAAGGTCTTCAGACTTTAAATAATTTGAGTGATCAATATTAACTTTGCTAAAGCATTAAGTCCTATGATTTATGTTACATATAACGGAATATAGTGAATATAGTGATCTTAAGGGTAGAGTATACATAGATCATTTATCATATGATCTGCATGGCAAATTTTTTTGTGTAACAAATTACATA